TGCACTTTTTATACATCCTATAGATTGTGTCTCAACCAAGCAAACCCTGGCACGCTCATATAAGTATCCCATTTGAAACGGGAATCTCAAAAAGATAAGATTACCTGTACAATCTTCTGCATGAGTTCTTCCGGTGACATTACGGTACGTAAATTAAGTAGTAGACTGAACATATAGTTAGTATCCGCCGTGCTGTTGCGAGTAGGTAATAAACGAGCAATCAGTGCTTCGGGTGAGCCACTGAGCACATTCCCTAGTGCGTCCACAACGATGTCCTAAAATTCGATCTATTCAAAAGACTTATTCATATTTTTAACAAAGAGATGAGCCATGAATAATCGAAAACCAATAATTAGAAATAAATAGATCTGGGCTATGTGGGCAATGCCATCAAATTCGACGTTTTAGAAGAGAGTATCAAAAGTGGGAACTCGAACTCGAAAAGAAGTTTTGAACCCGTAAAGGGTCTGATTTCTAGTTATTTTGCTGCCCTAAAATTCTTCTATGCTAATATTATACTTTGCACATTTGGAGATGTAAATATATTGATAAATAAGCAAATAAGAGGTGAGCTTTCAGGAAAACAAAAAGGTTGAGTAAGCGCCTACGAGAATAGCAACTCGGGAAATTCCACAGTTTCCCTTGTGGACTTAAACTTTTCATTTTTATTTCTGAATTTTGATTCGAGAAAAAACTTCCTGCTGAATGCCTTTAAAGTTGGACTGAGCAATCAATGGACCCGGTCTGGGAAGAAAATGAACGATCAACTCACATTCTGTTCAAATTTGTCACTCCGATGTGTGTTTAGCTCGATTTCTCGACGTTTTGTAGATGACGTCAACATTGGCGATGAGGCCAACATTCCCTAAACATAGCACAATTTCAGCAAGTAAAGGCAAAGAAGGTGAATTTTGGAAAAACGGTAAATTAGGGGTCTCGACGGAAGCGAAGCATGTCAACTTTGCATGGTCAGGCCAATATAATTTTTTTTCATCAAATGAAATAGATTTGGGTTATGCAATCGAATTTTAACTTTGTCAGTTGCCACACGTGACGCGACTGCACGCGGACTGGCTCTTGCGATCGCATACAAGCAATCTTGGCAATCGATTCTGGCCCACGTAGGAAATGATTTACCGCTAGCCAATCTTTCATTTGAACACTAGCAAAAGATTGTTGCAAACTAGCAAAAGACTATGTCGCTGGAGAAACCAACGACTCATGAAGAGATGGTTAAGTACCTCATATGAAACAGGAACTTGAAAGATAAAAAAAAATTCAAAAAAAAATTTGGTCTGGCAACCCTCGAAGTCAGGTTACCCAACCTATTGCTGGTGCAGGGGATCAAATTAGCAGCACCCCTGACGCTGGGTTTTTGATGTTTGCAAATGCTTAGAACAGCATCTCAAGTCATGAAAAAGAACGTGCAAAACCGGACTTGTGGCGCATCCAGGAGAGGGCTTGAAAAACTTCCTTGTGTCTGTTTTTCTAGCAAAAAAAACATCTTGAAGCTTAAGATCCTAGATCTTCAAACTAGACTGTTGAACTTTATTTATTTGTTTATTACCTTCTTTTATTAATTCACTAATACAACGCAAAAGGCGCTTATATAAACAAACAAAAGCAAAAAGCAACTGACAGGTGAGGAACGAAGGCACTTCGTGAGAAAATGAAAAATGTCTGGACATTGAGTTGAGGCAAAAAGTTTCTAGGATGAGTATAAAAAGGCGAAAAGATTAATGGCCGTCGTATTGGCGGTGTGAAAGTCGTCCCCAGGGCTTCGATGGTGTGAGTAAAGTGAAATCGAGATCGATAAAAACAATGGAAATGGCTTGATCATTTGCATTCGACATTGTTCCACATACACAGAACACCCATGTGCCAACCAGTAACCACCCAGCCACACGGCAAAATTAATGAGAAGCTCCTGATTAGGCTTACCACATATGCTAATTAGGCCATGAGGCTGCAGCAGCCGTTCCAAGCAATACTGGCGGCTCTACAGCGTCCTCGTACAGCTCAGCAGAAGCTGATGCTGTTGTTATTCAACCGGTAATAAACTTCGCATTACCAGTAAGAGCAAGTATGAAATGAGAAAACGTTGAAAATAAGTCTAGGAGATGGTGTGGAAGCTCCGCCCAATAGGGTGGGACTTTCATTTCCAAAGGACAGAGAGCACTTTGAGAAAACCTTCAAAAATTAGCCGCAAGTGTGCAAAATCGTCTAAAATGCTAAATTTCTGACAGGGATAACTGTAAAGTGAAAGGAATAGAAGGTCGTTACAGTACATACCCTCCGAAAAAAGGTTGAAAACTAAGGACTCTTATGTGGCCAGCTGGCCATCAGCTCTCTAAGAGCTAGTGGTTGTTTGATGATGTTCAACAAGAAAGCTGATGATTAATGACCGAAAGAACCAAAAGCGATGGGGTGGTACCGTAAGTGTGGCCAGTGGCTATTCAGAATGTTCCATAAAGCGAGAAGACATTTCCTCCAACAGGGCGTTAAGTGCTCAGCGGGTTCGCCATTCATACACCAAAGGCAATGAGCGGAATCGTCTAAGGGAATTAGTAATGACTGATCTCATTGGACTCGACGAAACCGTCGGGTGCCTGATACCAGTGAAAAAAACTAGTTCTGAAAAAGGACGGAAATAAAAAATCCACAGGAATGTGGGAATAGTATTCACTCAGACTACAAAGGACGAGAGCCAATGTTTCCTGGTTTCCTGAAACCACATCGCTCCACCCAATTCCGACTAATGGCCCTAATTACCTGATGAGATATTCTTTCCCGTCAGGACCTCTTAGCGGCGCTTTCGCGATGTGTTTTCAGTCAATGACCTCAATTCTATGTGATTTATAGAGATGGTAGGGGACCAGGAAGGTAAAGAAGCTCCAGCAAACACTGCTCTGAGGGGAATTTAAGAAACCTATTTGGAGTGTATTTCTATGATTATGAGGCAAGAGCAAGAGAGTGAAGACGGGCGATTGGGCCAGAGCCTTAGGCAAGTGAAATACTTAGGTAACCAGATTGGACCAGTTACCCAACGGCCTATAGAATCGAAACAGACCATGGTAGACCTTGATTTAACCTACAGCTAACAAAAAGATATGATATGTATATATGTAAGCCAATAACTTTGTTCCCACATGAAGCTCATGGACTAAAAGGTTTTTCGAAGCATCAGGTTGGCATGGCCGAGATTCGATTCTGAGTCGAGCTACGGATCATTCTCTTTTATTATGAATAGGCGCCATCAACATTAGCTGATTGAACGTGAGTGATTCATCGAAGCACATGATATTTGCACAATTGTTACTCGAACTGTTTAGGGAAAGCATCAGCAGGTCTGGGAATTCAAGGTAATTGTTACCAACTTTGAGCCCTGCAACGTGGGGAGAGAAAAGTTCGACTTCTAAACCCCCTTATGCTTCTCCTCAAACATTCCCTGCAGAAACCTCATAGGAGGTGCGAGCCTTCAAATGACACCCATTCCCTTACAGCACGCCAGCAAATGGGAGCAAAAGTAAATTTCAGAAGGAGCCGATGAGCTTAACCAGAAAACGGATTCTGGAATTTCCGGATCAGGACAAACATAAGGCATCCACAAAGGAAGGAGTTTCTGAATTCAAATCTCCCAGAATATGGTAATTAAGGACGGAATAAGAAATTCTATTGATCACTGCGTCCTGCAAAATTCATGACAGCCCATTTTCTTTCGCCACTCGGTCATGCCATCCTCACCTCCCATGATGGTGAATAGGGCGATAACTTTCCCACACGACTCCTTCCTTCCTCATCCTCCTCATCCCTATCGTTAATTTTCGGAATACACATCCTACAAATGGAATTGAATTTCAAAAGCGTTTTCATACGTTTTCCTTCAAGAAAAAACAAGCATAACATGGCCGTTACTCATGAGTTTCTTATGGGAATGGGACAGAAAACGTAAAGGCGAGTAAGTGGCTGCCACATATAGAAAGCATTCAAACGGAAATTCCGACGGTGCTGCCTCTTTAGCGTGGGAGGCTAGCGAGTAGCACGAAAGCTTTTAGATGAATGAATTCTGCAGATATCCGAGACACGCAAACGGAAGGACTAGCAAAGGAAGTCGAGACGAAAGCTGGGAGGGAGGAATCTTCACACGGTTCAAATTACCTTGACAAAAAGTGCCCGAGAAAACCATCCCAAGAGGGATTTTCAGTTGCAATATTGAGAGTCCATCGAGTGTTAAGCGACGATTTCGATCGTAAAATAGTAAAGAGCGATTGGATAGACAACTCCCGAAGTGAATACTTTGCAAAGAGAAAACGATAAAAAATTCGATGCTGATGATCCCCTTAGGACACTCAAGAGATAGCCCTCTATTCAGAGTAACAATGTCCGTTAGTACTAGTCAGTGCTTTGCCTTAAACATCGGAGTAACTTATAAAGATAAACAGTAATCCGCGCCAAACGATCTTGTTTTTTTAGGATGCGCCCTGCATTCGATCTTCATTTAGAATAGATGTGGCGAATTGGATGCGTATGAGGCCTACACAATGCTTTCGGTCGCTAGCTGATCATCAAATGTAATGAATACAGTGCTTCCACCCGCTCTGCTACCAATAAATCAAGCCCAAAGGATGAAAGGTATGGTTGACCAGGCGACTACCGATTCAGGACGGACCATGTGGGTGTATGATAGTACGCCACCTCCCACAACCCACAATTCTAGCTAATATGTAATATTATGTCGGTTTCCTAAAAAGAAAGGAGTAATTTGACTTTAGCCATGAAATGTGATGATTAAAACGACAATGACAGAAAAAGGTATGAGAAGGGTCATGGACTGGAAAAACCTGGAGATCGAGAACGACGGGAACGACTGTTCACCTAGAAACGGAACTTGATAAACAGCGATTGGACTTCGAAACCTGAGCTTCTCTCCAAGAAACTGAAAGGAAAAAGTCGTAAGGACAAAGGATCTTGAAGAAGCTTGACCCAGTGTCGATGACAGTTCAATATTGGAGGCATCCATCTATCAATTTGGGAATTTTTTGTCGACGTCTGCCTAATTAAACGACCTAATTTGTTGTCGCAGGAAATGTTCAATGTAAAAACCGGAGATTGGATGAAGTCGACGAAAATTCGAGCGGACAAGAGTGCATTCAACAGAACGGATCCCTCTGCATAAAAAACGATCAGAAAAACAAAACGTCAAGAAAGATTGAAAACCTACTAATCACTGGTCAAGAACGCTTTGTTTTCATGGATATCCAAGATTCCTTCAAAATACATATCAGAATTTGTAATTTTTCAAACTTCAATTATAGTTTATTCATTTGTTTCTCCTCCCGAAGAGAAAAGGCCTATGAGAAGCGGTGCTGGGACCACTCCCAGGTCTTCGGATCAAATTTCAAACTGAATTCCGGAAGATGCCGCCCGAGTCTCTCAACATTCCTGAATAAGTCAACTTGTTCTAGATCCAACTTAGAAGAAAAATCCTGAATTGCACCTCAATTGTAAATGAACGTCGCTGCGATACTAGGTAAAAATCCGATGCGTGGCGCCTTCCTTCGATGCAAATTTGATCATCTCAGAATTCCCTATCCTCATATATTAGGGATCCTCAAATATGGTATATATGCAGGATTCAAGGATAGACAGTTAGTAATAGTGAGCGATCTCATCTGAAGAGGTTTTCAACAGAATCTCAGCTCTTGTCCTACTGGGGAGATGCTAACATAGGACGAGCTGTATGTATCAACTTTTCATTGGAACCGACCCTTTGATCAAAAAGGTAATTATAAAAATCATCCACAACTGCCAGTGAAAAAAAGGCACTATCAGGAGCTCAACAGGCAGTCTAGTTAATCGGTA